TTTCACCGCAGACAGCAACGTTTTCCTAATCGATACCACCGTTTCCTCAATCGCGACTTCTTCCAACCGCACGCGAGTGTCAGCACTAGTCATCATCCGCGTATCTTAAATCGATCAACCGTTTCATTTTATACAAAAAATATCTATAAACTCACCCGGTGAGATAAGTCTATGTCCGACATGAATGTCACTATAAATTCTCCTAATTTCGTGGCGCGGTGACACATTTCTCTTCGGTGACTCTTCCCCACTATCACCACCAGCCCTCCTCAACCTCAACGTGCTCACCGCCTCCGTCAAAGTCTGCGTTGAGGAAATGCAAGATTTACCAAGATTAGCAAGATCCCACCTTAGGACAGCTCGTCCGAAGCACTTCATCATCGACCAGCAGTTCATCGTACCTGCCAGCCATCGGAAGACCCCCGGTTCAATTCTCACAGACCACATTTTTCTCACATTTCTCTCGCCGCCTCGGCAATACTCAAATCCACATTTTTCAAGAGGATCTTTTTACTCGTCGTCAATTCTGTGAAACCCAAACTATTCACCTATGCGAAAATACAGCTGTCACGCGGCACGAAATCTCACCCTCCAGTGCGTGAGCTGTAGTAGCGTTGACGAGCAAAGTCAAACAAGCAAACAACGGTTGACTTAAGAGACTTATCAGACAAGACAACTGAGTCAGTTGTCTTGTCTGATGGCCGTTAGGCATAGTTCCGTTCCGAACAGTCCGACAATGTCGGACTATTCGGGACGGAACTGTAGAATTTAGGAATTGATTAGAATTGTAACCCTCACACAATATAGAATATCTTGAGAATTTTGTCTAGTAGAATGACTTCGATGAACGCTTTAGCATGTGAAAGTTAATGAATTGTGCCGCACAATTTGTGCGGAAATTAACACGTTTCGAATTGGCCCGTACACAGAATCCAATAAAATGATCCTATTTTCAAAGAGGTTAAGATCATAGATCCTAATAGGATCTATGATCTTCACCTCTTTGAAAGTATCACAATATCGTTTCTCTTCATACGTATATACACACTGACATCATGGAAACCGTACAATCGCGTGACCGTAGCGACTCAAATATGTCAATCCTGATAAGTAGAGAGCTGACTTGAGAAACATTTCATGTTTCTCAGGTCAATTCTCAGTCCAGATCTCGGAAAGGCAATACAGCAGCTGGCTAGGATGGAAACTATCCCGCTGCATGTGGTGCCGGATCAGGGTTGCGGTGCTTCTACTCGTAGAAAGAAATTGATTTGCCGGTTGTTGCATGTGAAGAAGGCTGAAAAACCTCGGCTCATTAGATTTCAAACGGGCTCTCAAAATGGCAATAAACGTTCCTTAGTGGAACAAAGCTATAATCGGTTCGTTTTGCTCTGCGATTTGACCACCTCGACCCCTTTTTGCATCCTCACCCGTGACGCCGGCGAAACCAGTAAGCTGTTGGGGACGCACCTACAGCACTTCAAGATAGGGTCGGTAGTGTGCATCTCTCAGCCGTATGGCTGTGGCCAACTACAGAGGTGTTCCACAAAGATTGTGGGGAGTTTCGATCCGATCACGCCCGCTCAGCTAGCCCCTGATGCCGAGCCCGAAACCACTTGCTTACCCTCGGGTGTAACGGAGAACTACCACTACACTATGTTGCGTGGCTGCCAAATACAGCTCCACAGAGTGGGGATGAGTGCCGAAAGTGTTTGTGAGGGTATTTTGTGTGATGGGCAATACAAGGTTTGTGGTTGCGTCTCGGGGGCCAAGAGTACGAAATGGACACTAACAATCGTCATATCCGCTGATAAGCTCAAGCAATACGACGAGTTCACTATAACCAGTAACTATGTCACTGAGCTTTTCGTCACAGCAGCTGCTCGGAGCGTAAAAGGCTGCCCCAAATTGATTCTCATAGCTTTTTTTATCAGATCAAAGAGACTCAGTTGGATATGTTCGCTCTGGAGGATCGGGCTGATGAAGTGGTGGCTACTATAAATCGTAATGGTGGCTTTACCATCTGCTTATGGAGTAAGGCGGCCACTACCGATAACGAGATGCATAAGCCACTTCGCCACCACCTCTTCATGTTGTCTCCAACCTCGTTCGAGCGAGATTTGGAAAACCTTAAGTGAGTTAAATCATATGGTTCGTGACCTCACGTGACAAGTGATGTGAATTGTGCGTCACGCTGAATAATTTTCACGTTTTTTTCACGTTTTTTTCACGTTTTAGATACAACGGTGAGCCTGTTCGCCAACTGGGCAATGGCAACAATGATAGGCAAGCTGGTAATGGTGGCAACAATGACAGCCAAGCTGGTAATGGTGGCAACAATGAGATTACTAACGGCGGGAACAACCAGGCTACTAATGCCCGCAACAATCAGGCTGCTAGTGACGGCAATCAGCCTCGTCGTAGCGCCAACAACAATGTCGGAAATGCATCCAGAGCGGGTAGCGTGATTCATTTAGTCCGGAAATGTCATTTTTTCCTGTACAGGTCAGAATAATCCTCCAGCCTACGTTCCATTCGCCGGCTCGGTGCGGAATACTCGAAGCTTATCATAAAATCACGATTGTTTTCAGGTGTTTGACCCACGGAGACAACTTCCCCAAAATAACGACCGAGATGGCTCCGGAGATAATGAGGATCAACATAGATCCGAAGAGAGCGTTGTGTCGACAGGCTGAGTATCGACTAGAGCAATTTTGCAAGCATGACTTTTGAATGCTAATGAGAATCGAGTGAGACAAGTGTAATTTTTGTTTTCCACACAAGATCGTCACTATGCTCTCCTAGTTTATGTATGTTTGTTTAGGTTATCGCCGATAACTTATCGGTAGTCCTATTCGTCAATTTTGTTGCTCTCTCGCTCACCCAGTTGGACATACTGAGCATGTGTGACTTTATTATGAATACTCCTGAACCCATGATATGTCTGTTTCTAATCTGTTATACTACGGTTTTGTTACTTAGCAGTGAAGTAAGTTTTCCATTCAATGGTCGTTTTCTTGCAATGTCTGCCAAGCGTATTGGCACAACTGGTGACTATCAAAAGGGAGCAGTTCGCAAAGTTGAGACGGAAGTGTAAAGTTTACACTGTAAACTGCTCTCAATATGTAGTCGAGGAACGAGATTCAAACTTTGCTTTTTATCCCACGTTCAGTGATCATAATCGAAAACCCGATTCAGCGATATGATCTATTTTTCATTATCCTCTGACACTTGTAGGACGCAAATTGCCTTGTGCACTAATTAGTGGAGTGTACTTTTTTACCGTAGTTGTTAGGTGATGGTGCGAAGGTGCGAGGTCGTTTTCCGAAGAGTAGTTGACTAATGAGTTTCCGAGTTGGTGTTGGAAATATTTGGCTACTGAGATCATTAATGGATGGAAAGGAAGAATAGAGTAGAATGTTGACGGTAAAATTATTCTTACGCATTGCATCAGGTTTTGGTCGTACTCCGATTTCATTCATCCGGTTGGAGAGTTTCTTTCGCTATCTTTCGTAAGTTATCAACTCCCCGTTTGCTTCGGTGGAAGCCGATAGTGGAACAATAGGAACATTGTTCTTGCCGCAGGATTCGGATATTACATGGATCGTCACGGGGTCATCAACAAAGCTGAGGAAAACACGAATGGTAAATTTGGGTAATCAAAGGTGATAAAGGGGATAAAACGTTGGAGAGAGAGTTTAGGATTATCTCGATCAGAGATATGCTCCGTGATTGATTAGCACACACTGTTCCCACGCAAAGTTGAGCGCCCAATTCTTTCACTATGGCAATGCGTAGTGTGATAAAGACGTTGCAATGGAGTTGTCAAATACTGAATAGGACGACTTGTTCGCAGCGTTAGTAATGTTTATTATGTTGCACCCAATATAGATTATCAGTTTAGTGGTTCAGTTCATTTTCGATGTTAAACCGCGTTAGTTAGTCATGTAATCAGTGATTTGTAATCGTCTGCTTCTTCCAGAGCAGAATACGTAGATAGGCATCATTGAACGAATTGATCAGTAGAATATTCAATACTCGTGACCAGTACATTTTCCCGGTCGGTCTCAGAGTGCAATTATATCTAACAAGTCTGTAATAGTGTAGAGTGGTTAGTGCGTCAGTATGTCATGCAGGCGATCCACGTTCGAATCTTAAATTCGTATTTTTTAACATAATTATATTCACTCTGTCGGTATATCCACGGCAGTTTTAAGTAGAGTACGAATTAGTGTAGTGGTAAGCGCCCAAACTTCCTTCAAGCAGGTCGGAGGTTCGAATTCCACCGGGTTCGTGGGGGTCCGCGCTTTAGCGGGATTCACGGCCCTTCTCACACCGGGGACCCCAGAATCTAGTGGAGATCGCCCAGCTATCGATCCCGTGATCGATAGCAAAGCGTCGGCTCAACAGCGAGTCAGTAGCAATGTCGGCCCAACATCGTCAGGATATAGGAGTGACGAGTGGGCCGACACCTGGACTCTGTGACTCTGACTACTCAGCACCGGAAGCCAACTTTTCACTTGAATTCACCGCCGGTGAACCATCGGCCAGTGTTTACAGTATCTCATATGAAGGTCCCCAGTCATATACGCCAATTTCTCCCGAAAGGGAGTCCTCTACGGGCTAGGTGGAGGAAACCATTTTTCGCTTTTTTTGTGTAGCGCGAGGGCAGGGCCCCTCTGCGCGTTATGAGAGCCAATTTATACACATCGAAGATGGTCTCGATCTTGGTCTATTTCGCGATCTACCCATAATATCGAGTCGGGACTAGTACCAAACGAATCCTTATCGAATTTTAGGAACAATGGCATCACCCGTTTTCTGGTTTATAGCTTGTGGTAGGAGCTATAATCGATTTAAGATTCTCCGTTAGGATGTCCGCTCAAAAATCGTCACTTGCAATCTTAAGGTGGGATTGGTCTAGTGGTATGCGCCGCGGCTGACGACCGGAAGGTCCCCGGATCGAATCTCGGGTAAGATAAAATAAAGTTTTTATATTATTTAAATATATCTGTATTTTAATTATTCTAAGACCTATTTCGTGGCGCGTGAGAAGTATATGCAACTTTCTATACCGCTATTCCCGATGTAACAATATGAGGTGTCGGCTCAAAGCTCATGGCTCGGCTGTGTAGGGGGCCCCACATAG